AAGACCTCCTGTGTGTCCGCCCACAGCTATGAGATATCCGAATTTGAAGACAGTCGAGGAGAATTTGTACCAGCCTTCGACACCCGTTCGTCAAGCCGCATGTTTCTGATACAGCAACTATCTGGCGTTACAATGTGAGCATATCTGATCGAGTTGATGTCCAGTTGTTCATGCTCGGATGCGGCGGCCTCTCTAGGAGACGGATCGCCTCGCTTGGCGGTCCCTTCCTACACTGTAGTGTCACATCTATAGTCGACAGTGCAGTGCCGCCGCCTCACACACTCATCATGCTGGACGGCGTCAAGTGAGTTCTTGTTGACTTGACTGTGACTTTCGTTGGACGATGCAGGTACCCGGGCAATGCTGGGAATGTCCTCTCCAATGCGGGCAAGCTGGGGTGCTCCGCGGTCTTGCTCGGTCGTTCGAGGAGGTCCTCTCAACCTTACCAACAGTGAACTCCAACGTTACGAGACAGCTGAGATACTCGACTGGTGCCTCAGGGATTTCGCCCTGTCAGCCTTGTGCTCGTCTAGTACGGTTCGCCGTGGAGGAATACCTCTCGTGTTGAACGTCCATTGTGTGGACACGATACACCTCCTGCGAGAGGAGTATGCTTATCGAGTGATCCTTATCGAGAACAAGGAAGTGGCCGTCGACCATGGCGTAGGCAGGGGCTACAACTCGGTCAGCTCCCATATGGTAGCTCCTTGTAGTTACCCTTCATCGACTTGAGTTGCGAGGCATCTGCGCGGGCCGAGATATCTACACCTCGAGTGTTGTTCGTTGGTGGGGGAGAGCTCGAAGGAGTTGGACCGCTCATCCCGAAGGTCGCTGATGCAATACTGAGCGTGGGCGTCTACTGGACGGTATTGACCCGCCTCATTGTACTCTCACAGATTCCGACTGTTTTCGACCACCATCACAGCTACAATGTGTGTACTGCGATGACTCTAGTGATGTTCGAGCGATATCGATTCACTAAGACCTGGCCTCGACCCAGCATGCTGCCACCATTGTCAGACGGGGAGCTTGCTGCTCTACGTGAGCAGAGGGTAGGAACGAGGGGGAAGGATCATGATCAGTTCTAGCGTTGTTTCTGGTAATGGAGTTTTTCTTGTGCTAGTAGAATAGTGTAAGACGCTTGAGTTTCCGGACAGGAATCTCTAACGTTGCTGGGTACCAGCAGCGCTCTCCTGTACCACTCGAGTAGTAGTTTTTTATGAGCACCGGACGGGCCCTCATTCACGTCGGGGAGGGACTTTTGACGTCGGCTGCCTCACGCTGCTCTGCTGGCGATGTGGTCCCTCGAGTGATGACCCCTGAGGATATCCCTCGAATAGCATGCAGAACACTGCAGAAGATGACTACTAGCTTTGAATGGCTCGCCCGGAGGATATCCTTGTCCGGTCAGATGTCACGCTCCCAGGTAAAGTTAACTGATTCCGTCTGAAATCTGAGGGCTCTATCCTTAGGCGGAGGTGGCCATTAGGAATGGCGAAGTTGTTGTCGACGGTCAAGTAGTCCGCCACAACGTGCAGGTCTCCGACCACTGTGATGTTATCTGTCGAGATCAGCCAGTGGAACCACCAGGGTGGGCCTATTCCGTATCTTGTGTACCGTGACCTAAGATATCCCGCCGCAGAGATCCAAAAGTTTGGCTTATCAACAAGCCTCGTGGCGTCGTCTGCAGTGCAACTCGGATACGCGGTCTGACAACCCTACCTGACTTGTTCGAGATTTGGCACAAACGACGAGTGTGTCGGTCCCCAGCCTGCGTCCGTATGACTTGTGTTCTTCACAGGCTAACGAACTCAGCCATAACATCAACAACGTCGATCTTATCCCACCCCACTTCATCGTTATCAATCCCATACCCGTGATGTGCTCCGGTCTAGTCATTCTCACCAATGATGGCGAGTTCGCCCACAACATGGCTCATCCTCGCAGCAAAGTTCTCAGTGAGTGCATGAGCCGATGCTTTCCTCGTATAGTATACTCCGTACTAAGGTGTTTTCCTTGTCCGAGTCAAAGGTAGATTGCCAGAGGACCGCTTCAAGAGCTGGAGACGCAGAGAGGGTGTGAAAGTAGGCAATGTCGATTACGGACAGGTAAGCGTAACTCCTAGTATTGTGGTCTTTCTTCCTTGTACACTGGATAGGTGTTCGTTGGAATAGACAAGCGACCCAGCGAGGACGTCACCTGGTTACGAGTTCGGCTGGTCATGACCAATGAGAAGAACTTGGTGAAGTTATTCAGGGACACTTACAAGCTCCGGGCAAGTCGACATCGACTACGTTGGTTGATTAGCGAGCCACTGTCGCGTGCCTTAGGTCACGAAGATCAACTCGTCATCATTTGGACCGTACAGATCGAGTACTGCTTACGTTGATTATATCTGTCCCCAGCCAGTGAGTCCTCACGTACGGCATCTAGCTCCGAGGAGGATCGCTAGAGACGCTATCATGGCGGCTAAAGGTCGGTCGATCCCCAGGACGTGGCAATGGTCCTGGCTGAGTCGGTAGGTACCCTGGTCAATCCCATTACTGGTGAATTCGTGTCCATATTCGATCAAGCGCGGCATTCGCTAGCTATAGGGGAGGAGCCGCCACCACAAATCGATATTGGGAGGAATGACGAGGCGTTACGGATACCTGAGTGATGAGTGATTGCTCGCCATGTTTCTGAAGGCTTTCCTTGTGGGCAGCTCTTCCGCGTTTGCTGTGAGCGTCGGTTCCACCCTTCCCTTGGTAGACAGCTCTCATCATGCCGGTCGCCTCATCATCGAGCAGCTCTGCTGAACCCAAGACTAAGAAACGGCGGAAGGCCCCGCGGGGTATAGACTGGTCCACGGCCAAGACCGGTCGCTTTGTGATGAAATTCGCCTATGTCGGGACCAGGCAAGCCTCTTTTCCATCTACTACGATGGCTCTGAAGGTGTGTGTTGAGGCAGTGCTCAGATACGCTGGAGTTGCGTGGCAGAATCAAGAGGCCTTCGGTGTCAACACTGTGGAGAACGAGCTCTTTAAGGGTCTAGTCAAAACATGCCTCATAGAATCTCGCATGTCTTGCGACTTCTCTCGGTGTGGTCGGACTGATAAAGGAGTTCATGCCAGGGGCAACTACGCTACTCTGCGGCTGCGGCTGAAGCCTGATGGTGAGCATGTCCGGTCAGTTCGGCCCATCCCAGGGAATCCCGCCTTCTATTCACATCTCAAATATACATCTGACAATACAGTAGTGTTAGGAGAGCTCATATACAAAATATCTGCGTCATTTGAGCTTCGGGTGAAAAGTTATGCCGGTGACACGAAACGGACTCTTCTGACCGTGCGTACTGCATGTATGAGCTGCTTGTGTCTCCACGTCACTGCTACTTATGCAGTGACTACTTTCTTTTCAGGCACGGAGTTTCCGTATATACAGATGATAAACCGTGTGCTTCCTGATGACATTCGAGTCTTGCGTATCTGTTCGGTGCCGAGCGACGACTTCGATGCACGCTTTAGTTGCAAGAGCCGAACTTATAAGTACTTCTTCCCGTCGACAGGGCTCGACCTTGAGGTCATGGCCGAGGCCGCACAGAGGCTTGTAGGGCAGCACGACTACCGCAATTTCTGTCGCATGGATGTTGAACAAACCACCAATTTCGAGAGAACAATATACTCCTTCGAGATCTGCAACGGAGATGTAATCTCCCATGCGGTCATCACGGGCAGTGCGTTCTTGTGGCACCAAGTTAGATGCATGATGGAAGTTCTCATGCTCATCGGCAAGGGGTTGGAGAAACCTGAGGTTATTGATATGCTCTTCGACATCAACAAGACTCCGGGCAAGCCTAGCTACGACTTAGCTGACGGCGCTGGTTTGGTGCTATTCGACTGCAAGTATGACGCTGAGTGGTTCGACCAGACTGTTGAAGACGATGAGGAAGCTGTCGCAGAGTTTTCTCGAGCGGCGATAGCCGCCCAAAGGGACTTGGCGGTTCTTCAGTGCTTGGCTGGGCCTATTGCGAAGACCACTGAAGTACAGTCTCGGAAGTATGTACCAATCATGCAACGGGCGAAGGCACCAACACTGGACGAGCGGATAGCCGTCGCTGAGCTGAGGAATTCCAGGAAGGAGAATTCTATTACAACGACTGACAGTGTGCCATCATCTGATGTCAACGAATAGCTAACGTTTCTCACAATACTTGTATTTCGTGTGGTCAAATGGGAATACTATTACTGACTCCGAAGCGCTCTTTTTGAATCATAGCGATAACTCATCGCCAATAAGTCTAGGGCGGTATGGAACCTGCATCTCTATGAGCAGCGCATGGGAGAGGTCGCATATCTTAGCTCCATGTGCCGTAACGAATAGTACTTCGGAAATCGTGATACATCTTTCGACTGATGAATCGTCGTTGATGATGGCCGTTGTACTGGAATGGCCTTCGGCTTGAATGTTCCAAGCAGTTGAGTGAGCGTGTCCTGATGACAATTGGCTTCTCACCATCGAAGCCGTCCAATCTAGTCGGGCAAGAAGTACTAGTTGACCGTGACACGCCCGGAGAAGAACCCTCCCCTTTCTCGACCTCCCTGCATGGCAGAGTCACAAGCCTTCGTGTAGCTCCCAATAGACGGGATGCCGAGGCAGTAGTGATGTTGAAGAGTGGCGGTCCAGATAACATTCTGGTCGTTCCCGCGAATAAGGTGTATCCGTTGGAGGCATCTCGCTACGCCTTAGAGCACTCGGACGTCTCTTACTGTATCCGAGAGGGGGAACTGCCACTACACAGAGGAACGGTTACAGCCACAGTCATGGCCCGGCTGCCGAGGATCTGCACGGCTGACGTCCCGCCCAAGATGCAGGTCAGTCTGGTATGCAGCCGAAGCCCTCTAGGGGAGGTATTGGGCGACGGTGCTGGCAGCATCGGCCACCGACATAAGGTCGAGCAGGTGAACCTTAAGAGCTCCAAGAACGTGGTGTGGATCGTGGGTGAAGGCGACCTAGCTGCTACTTGGTATGCTCTCGCACGCAACTCGTCTCAAGGCCCCGAGGATGAGAAACTGCGAGCGGCTTGTCTTGTGACCTCTCTTCTCGCGACCGACTGCGAAGGGCGATGCCATGCTGCTCTATT